ACAACAACAACAACAACGCTACCAGAGCTCCAGGTAGCCCTAGAAAAGTAAAGCACACATGTCCCTACCCCTTTCAGGCTGAGACCTACAGAGATGTGAGGGCAAGTGCCTAATCAAGATACCTCAGCACACGTTGACAATCTCGGAGTAAATGACTGGAAAAATAAAACGAACTCTCTAGACTCCCAAATAGTCCTTTACCAGAGTGAAAAGGCAGCGCCCACTCTGAGGAGGCAGAGCGGGAGAGTGCAATGGGCTGGAGCCAGGAGGTAAGGCAGGGCAGGGGAGACAGGAGGTGTTCAGGTGCCATGGGCTGTTTGGGGTCACTGAGGGGCCTCTTCTAAGTGGGCCCCTCAATCAGGCTTGGTGGGGGCTCTTGGAAAGCATAGAGGGCCAGGGACCCTCCTGCCACCCTTGCATTGTTCAGGAGTGGAGAGGCCACGGCGTGGGTCCAGAGCATCACAGGCCGGGGTTGCGCCGAAAGCGGGATAGGGACTGCTGGCCCTGTGGGTATAAAGACAGGGTGCCTCCTATAGGACCCTGCCTCCTCTCCTCTCCTCCTCTAGTCAGGAGCACCAGTCTACCTTTGTCCTTTTCTTCCCCATCACTGTGCGTCCAGTCGGGGCTTGACCAACCGCCAGGACCAGGGGCAGCATCTCGAGGGCAACGTGGTCTGCTGCTCCTGCTCCCCTCGGCAGGTCAGGGGTCCGTCCCCGCTCTGACCGCCCGCCCGCTCAGGTCCCCGAGTTGCGTGGAGGGCGGGCTTCCGGGTGGTGGCGTCAGGTGGCCGCCAGGCCCCGCCCCCGCCTCCTGCGCACCGGCCCCGGTCCCCGGCCTGGCGGTGCGGCGTCTATTCGGGGCGCGGCAGCGGAGCGGCCATGGAGGCGGGCGCCGGGGCCAGCGCGGGAGCCGCGGGCTGGAGCTGCACGGGCCCAGGTCAGAGCCGCCCGCCCTGACTCCCCACCACCCCTTCTGCTTCCTCATCCCCCTCCGGCGGTCGGGACCCCTAGACCCTCCCTCTCTGCAGGACACTGCCTCCTCTCCGCCCTGAGGCTGGCTCCCTCTGCCCCAGACCTTACCCAGGACGGGTCCTATTTCCCCACACCGGTCCCCCATCCAGGCCCTGCTCCTTCCTCCCCATCCCAACCCCTACCCGGTTGGCTCCATCTTCTCCATCCCGACCGCACCCTCCCTGGAAGCCCCTCCCCAGAGCCCTCTCTTTGCTAACCTCCACCCTACAGCCCCTCAGGCCCCGGAGGCGCCTGAGCACTAGACGAGGGGGGAGGACGAAGTCCAAAGAGAGAATGGAGAGAGGAAGGGAGTCGTGCAGCCCTGCACGTACCCCCCTCTTACAGCCCCCATCACCTGCTATCCCTTCTCGGAGCCACCTCACCCTTTCAGCCATGTCTTTACAGGCTCTCTTCCACCCTGGGCTTCCGCCTCCCTGTCCTCTCTCTGCTAAATATACACACACCTTCCTTCTGTCTGTGCTAGGCTAGGCGCCCCGAACAGGGGTGCTGACGAGGCAGGGAGGGGGTCCCGATGTCTGAGAGTGGAGCCGCCGCCGAGCCCTGCAGAGGGAGGCAGAGACCTCCACGGAGATTAAAAATCCCAGGGTTGAAGTGTTAGAAGGCATGTCCCCATCTCTTGCCCTACCTCAGCCCCCAGCGTCCCTGGCATCCCCCAATCCTTCCTCTCCGACTGCTCACAGGAGCCACGGTAACCACCTTAAGCTCCTATGAAGTATCTGATGGTTGTGAGAGGAAGAAAGGTCAACGCTGGGGGTCCCTGGAACGTCGGGGGATGCAAGCTATGGAGGGTGAGTTTCCCCCAATTCCCTTCCTTTCCTTCTTCCTCTGTCTGGCCCCTCTGACTCTGCTCAGCACATATTAGCCCTTCCCTCAGTTCACCTCTGCCCCCTCCTCCCTGAGTGAGCCCATCTTTCCACAGGGCACAGTCTCTGAAGGAAGTCCAGGGTGCATCCCTCTGGGACCCCTCTCCCCATTTAACCAGGTTATGTGTCCCCGGGAGCTGCCAGCCAGACAAAAAGGCTTGGTTAGACAGAGCTTCAAAGCAGTCTTCCAGCAGGGAGCTCTTCTCACAAACCTAGATCCCAAGCGACTGGTCTTTTAAGTGGCAGGGATCTGGACACATGTACACTGTCTTCATTTCTAATGAAGCTCAAGGCTTTGGTTCTCTCTGGTATCTTATCCAAAGAAGAAGGCTTAGCAGGGGATGGATGAGAAGGTCAGCCCCCTACCACCTGTCCCCACCACACCCATGGTCTGTTTTCTTGGACTTCCTTTAAAGTATCCCCAGACCTCACTGCAATCTCATTGTGGACAACCCTGTTTTTCCATGGGCCCCAGATGAACCTCAGGCTGCTGACATTGGAGAAAAGAAGACCAGAGATTCAGAACTTTAAAACAAAGCAAGCAATGGCCATCCTGTTATTTAGAGAAACTGCATTGCAGTAAAGTGGGGATGCCCAGTAGTCAGAGGCTGGTGACAGGTGCACCCCAGTTTCCAAACACATTAAAGTGACCGGACTTTCTTTTACACTCAAGTCTTACCTAAGATTTCCCTTGAGAACTACCCTGTGGTCAGAAGGACAGGCCGCCTAACACTCAGGGAGGGGAGAGGAGACCTCAAGATACCCAGCAGGAAGGGGGACCTGGCAAGAAAGAACACTTCCGAGAGGCTGTTTGCCTTTACTGAGGTGCCAGCTCTTCTCCAGGAAAACTTTCAGCATCATTTTGCTCTATGTTTTCTTTCTCTGCCTACTGACATGCAATGCTTCCTTAATACATATGTTGTTGTTTAGGTGTCAATGAATCAGTTCTGACTCTTAGTGACCCTGTATAGGGTTTCCAAGGAGCAGCTGGTAGTTTTGAACTGCTGACCTTGCTGTTCAGACCGACCTTGCAGCCTGGTGCTTATCCTATAGTGCCACATGATCTATATATATTGTTGTTGTTGTTATGTGCTGTGGAGTCGGTTCTGACTCATAGCGACCCTGTACAGGGTTTCCAAGTCTATAAATCTTTACGGGAGCAGAAAGCCTCATCTTTCTCCCATGGAATAGCTGGTAGTTTAGAACTGCTGACCATGAGATTAGCAGCTCGATTCGTAACCACTACGCTACCAGAGCTCCTATATATATAGGTATTACATATATTAAGGAAGCATTGCATGTCAGTAGGTAGAGAACGAACACATCAAACAAAATCATTCTAAATGTTTTCCTGAGTTCCATAAGTGGTTCAATGGCTGATATTTCAGAAGTATATTGCCAGGGCTTTCTTCTGAGGTGCCTCTGGGTGAAATCTAACCACCATATATATGTATTGAGTCCTGGTGTGGCACTGTGGACTAATGTGCTGGACTGCAAGGTTGGTTTGAACTATAAGGTTGGCAATTCAAGCTTACCAGCCATTCCTCAGAAACCCTGTACAAGGTCGCTGAGTCGAAACCAACTCAACGGCACTTAACAACATTATATGGCACTCAACAACAACAACAATGTATTAAGGAAGCATTGCGTATCATTAGGTAGAGAAAGAACACATCAAATAAAATGATTCTAAATGTTTTCCTGGTATGACACTGGACCAAAAAGTCTGCTGGAACCCCAAAGTCAGCGGTTTGAACCCACCAGCTGCTCCTGGGAAACCCTATTCAGGGTGGCTATGAGTCAGAACTGACTCGACGGCATTTAACGAAAAAAAAACAACAACATGTGTATGTGTATATATATGTATGTATATATTTATATTTGTTGTTGTTAAATACTGTTGAATCAGTTCCAACTCATAGGGACCCTGTATAGGATTTCCAAGGAGTGACTGGTGCATTTGAACCACTAACCTTGAGGTTAGCAGTCCAGTGCTTATTTTACAGTACCACACCAGTGGATAAGAACTGCTAACCTCGAGATCGATGATTCAAACCTACCAGCTGCTCCTTGGAAACCCTTTATAAGGTCACTATGAGTCAGAACTGACCCGACCAATAACATTTAATAATAACATATATATCTACATATACTATACGTACACACACATGCACATGTATCCATATATGTACCATATGCATAGCATATATAATAAATATGGTTCGTATATTATAGATCATTGTTGTTGTTAAGTGCCATCGAGTCGGTTCCGTCCCATAGCGACCCTGTATAGGGTTTCCGAGGAGCAGGTGGTGAGCTTGAACCGCCGACCTTGCAGTTCAAATGGTTTTGCAGTCTGACACATTAACCCACAGCGCCACAATGCATAGCATATATAATATATACTCTGAGACACACACACACACATAGTTGCCATAGAGTCAGTGTGGACTCATAGCAGCCCCAGACATATCGGATTAGAACTGAGCTCTGTAAGTTTTTTAATGGCTGATTTTTTCAGAAGTAGTTGCCAGGACTTTCTTCTGAGGTCCCTCTAGGTAGAGTCTAGCCCCCAACCTTTCAGATAGTAGCCGAGAGCATTGTTTGTACAACCCGAGGACTCCTTTCTTACCATGGAAAGGCTAATTTTTCACAAGGCACTTGAATACTTTTTAAACTTTCTACAACCCCTACCCCCATTCAAACTAACCCTTGCTCCATTTTGCCTGAAGACACATCCAATGTCTGATATGTTTCTTGCCTTCTTGCCCCACTTCCCAGATGCCAGGACTAGAACAACTAGACAGGATTAGGAAGGCCTGAGATGGGGAGGGACTGCCGTCCAACTTGACCCTCATACCTGAAGACTCACCATGAGTGCAGGTCCTGCCAGAGGCTCCCTAGGGGACACCAGGTGGCACCATGATACCATCTCTACCCTTCAGCAGTGAGGTGGAAGAACTGTGCCAGGAAGTTGGCTCTGACTTGCGTCTGGGGTGGGTGTTTCTCCTAGGGGAGGTGTTACTCCCTGCTCTCTATGAGGAGGAAGAGGAGGAGGAAGAAGAAGAAGAGGAAGAACCAGTGCAGAAAAGCAGCAGCATGGGCTCCCTGTCACTTGGCAAACACCGGGGCCTGAGCCTCACCGAGACGGAGCTGGACGAACTGAGGGCTCAGGTGTTGCAGCTGGTGACAGAGCTCGAGGAGACACGGGAGCTGGCAGGACAGCATGAGGACGACTCCCTGGAGCTGCAGGGTGAGCACCTGTGCAGGATCTGGGTAGGCCTGGGGTGCTGCACCCACAGCTCCCAGGCCTGACCGGGCTGTCTCCCCACAGGGCTCCTGGAAGATGAGCGGCTGGCCAGTGCTCAGCAGGCAGAGGTGTTCACCAAGCAGATCCAGCAACTCCAAGGTAACTCCGGGGTCTAGAGCTGGAGGAAGGAGCCTTGAGGTAAAGCACTCAGCTGCTTATTGAAAGGTTGATGGTTCAGAACCACCCAGCAACTGCTCTGCAGAAGAAATACCTGGTGATCTGCTTCCATGAAGATTACTGCCCAGAACATCCTATGGGCAGTTCGAGTCCACATCAGTAACAGGACTGGAGGGGAGGTGGACAACCAAGTACTTATCGCCTAAGTGTCTGACTAAAGTGTAGTAGGCAAAAATAACCTAATTCAGTACTTCTACTGCGTTTTCCTCCACTGTTCTCACCCTTTTCTCTACATTCTCCCCTTTACCTAATTTCTTCTTCACATCTCTAGCCGACTCTTCTGTCTTCTCCTGCCCTTTCTTGTCCTCCCTTCTCTCCTCTTCTTCTGGTCATCGCATTCCTTTTTCTATCCTTTAGCCTTCTTCTCCCTCACCCCTTTCTCTTTGTTCTCCTGAGGGGTCAGTGTCAGTGATGGGTGAACAGAGTTGGACTTCAGGCCAGATTCCTTTTCCTGTCCTTCCAAGGGCACCATCAGAAAGGACAATTCCAGCCAATGAGAAATGACTGGAAGGGACTCTGCATTTCTTAAGGAGAGCTCATGAGAAGGCTGCTTACTCCCCAGGACAGCCCAGAATCCCATCCTGCCAACATCCACGTCTCTTTGTCTGTGGGATGCAATAAAACCGGCGTTCCACGTTTTACTGCACCACCAAATACAAAGGCAGCTTCTATTACTTCTGCGGATTTTTGGTAGGTTTAGGGGAGCTGCCCTAGAAAACAGCAGGGATTCTCCAGAGAGAAGTTAGATCAAGCCAAAAGAAAAGTGTAAATGGAGAACAAAGGATGGCCAGGAAGCAGACCTGGAGAAAGGGCAAGCAAAGGTGTAGAAAGAGGAGAAAAGAATGGGAAAGGAATGTAAGTAAAGGTTGTTGTATGCTGTGGAGTCAGTTCCAACTCATAGTGACCCTAATAGGGTTTATGAGGCTGTAAAACTTTAAAGGAGCAGAAAGCCTCATCTTTCTCCCACAGAACAGCTGGTAGGTTCGAACTGCTGACCTTGAGATTAGCAGCCCAATTCGTAACCAAAGCTCCTTGTAAATAAAGGTAGATGCAGGAAATGTTGGCAGTGAAAAGGAGGGAGGAGGGATGTATTGCCCTGGGAGAAAGAATGTGGGCTTTGGCCTCAGGTTATCTGGGTTCTTGGGCCCATCTCAATCACTAATAAGCTTTGTGCTCTTGGACAAGTCACTGTTTTTGTTGGTTTAAGGTTTTTATTGTGGACTGAGTGAAAGTTTATAGGGCAGATCATCAGTTTTACAGTCAACAAATCATACACTTTGTTTCATTACAATGATTATAATCCCCTCCATGTGCCATCAGTTAACAGTGTTTCTCTCTATTCACTTTAGCTCTTTTTTTTTTAAATACTCAGACATATATAATACTTTACACCACCGAAGGGCACATTCTGCAAGTCTGCCTCCTGGTCACCAGCTCTTAGTCCCTCTCTTCCTATGAATCTAAAGTCCTCAGCTGCTCCCTCTCTCTCTCTCCATGTCCCCATCTCTGCCTCCATCTCTGGTGTTGCTACTTCTCTGGATGAGGTCTTACATTCTACTTGTGCTCCTCTTCCTTGATGGTCCTAGGGTCCTTTGTTTCTGGGCTATAAGATTAACTACTCCTCCATTTTTGTTACAAAACGTCTACCTTTACAATTGTGACAGTCACAGTTAGTCATGATAACAATTACTCAACTAATCATTCTTATGATTGAATCATAAGAATCTTATCCCTCTCTCTTTTCACCAGACCCATCTAGACAAGATGAAAACTATTCAGTGGGGACTCTTTCTTCCCACACACACTCTTAAGCGAAACTCCCCCTTGAAACCTTGTGAGCCAGTCACTTCTTGCTTTTATCATCCCCTTATTTTAGGTAGCCAATATCTAAGTTGCCCATCCCTATCTATCTCCTGTGTACAGAGGGGATAGCATTGAAACTTGATGTGAAGACTCCTTCCCTCTCAGCTGGTATTTAGAGTTACTACCTCGATGAGTAAGGAGCTGTGGTAGCATAGTGGTTATGAATCGGGCCTATAATCTCAAAGTCAGCAGTTTGAAACTACCAGCTTTTCCGTGGGAGAAAGATAAAACTTTTTGCTCCTGTAAAGATTTACAGCCTCAGAAACCTTGTACAGGGTCACTATGAGTCAGAACTGACTCCACTACTCCATGAGTATAGGTCAAGTTCATCAAATTGTAGCAATTTACCCTCATTATCTTTATCAAAAATTGTTTTGTTATTTTTTTTTTATCTTCCTTTAGTCGAGTTCTGATTATCAAGCCATTGAGGCTAGGTCAAATGGGTACTATCTGCAAGTTGGGTGTTCTTGTGCATCTCCTCTCACTTCATATCAGCTGGAGGCTTCACTCTCAGCTCTAGCCCTCTGTGGCTATGTCCTGGTCCATAAGCTCAGGTGTCCCCAGGTCTCACCACACTTTAGACCAACCAGCCCTTCCTCTTCTCTCTCTCATTTCCAGGTCAATGGGAGTCTATGGAATGTGGTTGAACTCAGTGTATTTCTTTCCCCCTCTTCCACTCACCAGTAGACTAATATGGTCCCCAGCAAGCTTACATGCCTGCTCATGTGTTCCCTTTGAGTTTCAGTCTTGGAGGGGGATTTGTCCTAAAGAAACTTGATTGCTTGCCTTGATGGCTTCTCAGTGAGCAACTTACTTATTCTTGTAGTAGCCAGTCATATAGCCATTTTTATTTTGTGTTTTTCCTGATGATCTTTCTTTGAAGATGTATCTTCTGTCACTCTAGCTGTTCCAGGCTGATCTGCTGGTCAAGTCACTTTTATCTTTATAAGACTTAGTTCTTATTCTAAGGAGCTCTGGTAGCATAGTGGTTACGAATCAGGCTGTTAATCTCACAGTCAGCAGTTCAAAACTACCAGCTGTTCTGCTGGCGAAAATGAGGCTTTCTGCTCCTGTAAAGATTTGCAGCTTCAGAAACCCTCTACAGGGTCACTATGAGTCAGAACTGACTCCACTGCACATAACAACAACAACAAATATGTCTAATTCTTTTGTTTGGTGGTGGTGGATATGTGCCATGGAGTTGGTTCTAACTCATAATGACCCTGTATAGGGTTTCCAAGGCTGTAGTTTTTGTTTTGTTTTGTTTTAATAAATGTTTTATTGTGAACTGTGTGATAGTTTACATGGGAGAACATTAGTTTTACATTCATTCTATTATACATCATTTCATTGCCATAGTTACCATCCCATCCATGCATCATCACCCAACCAAAGGGTATACCCTGCAAGCCTGCCTCTGCCCCCCCGCCCATGGTCCTCAGCACTCCATCTCTTCATGTCATCTTCTCTGCCTCCATCTCAGTCCTCACTACTTCTCTGGGTAGGGTCCCCCTCTCCCAAGGCTATAGATCTTTACAGGAGCAGAAAGCCTCATCTTTCTCCTGCGGAATCACTGGTAGTTTCGAACTGTTGACCTTGAGGTTAGCAGCCCAACTCATAACCACTACGCTACCAGAGCTCCTTATTCATTTGTTTATCAACCATTAACTGAATGTCTATGTGCTTAGAAGACCAGCCATGCAGAGGACAGACCACATCCCTGCCTGAATTAAAAATACATTCTACTGGGAAGCGGCAGAAAATAAACCAATAATCAGATAGCAATACCAGCTCGGGTGGCAATAAATAATATGAAAACCACATAATAATATGATAGGCAGAGATGGAGTAAGATAGGAATTTATTGGCAAAGAACAAGCTTAGGGGCTAGGGAGTCATTTAAAAATTGTTACCGAATTGTTGAGTTTAATATAGCTAGTAGAATCCTGAAGACCTGATAAGCAATAGACTCGCCTAACTCGACAGTTCAAACCCCCAGCCGCTCTTTGGAAATTCTACATAATGTCCCTTAGAGTAAGAACTGACTTGATAGCACTTGACAACAGCATTCGAATCCTAGGGGGCCCCTAGTGGCCATGGAATAACCACAAGGCCAGCATTTTCAACCTACCAACTGTTCAACTTGTAGGAGGCTTTCTGCTCCTGTAAAGATTTACAGCCTTGCAAACCCTACATAGGATTGCTATCAGTCAGAATCAACTAGATGGCAGTAGGTTTGGTTTTGGGTATTAGAATCTAAGTGAATATGTTAAGAAGGCAGTTGGCTCTGTGACTCCAGAAATGGGGGAGAAGTCAGAGCTGGAGATACAAAATTAATTGTCATCAGCATAGAGATGGGATTACAATCTATGGGAGCTCACTGTGCAATCACACAGAGTAACGCAGGAAAAGGAGAGAGAGGGGTCCAGCCCCACCCCCACCCCCACCGCACACACACGCCAAAACAAAAAACACTGAAACAAACAAAACAAAAAAGCCTGAAATAGGAGGAACTCCTGAAGTGTTTCATGTCCTGGAAATCAAGAGCAGAAAAAAGATGTTTTGTTAAATACCATTGAGTCAGTTCCAACAGCGACCCTGTATAGGGTTTCTGAGGAGCGGCTGGTGACCTTGAAACGCTGATCTGGAACCACCAACCTTGGGGTTCAAATCGGCTTTCCAGTCTAGCATATTAACCCACAGCACCACACCAAGACTCTGTTGTTGTTGTTAAGTGCCATCGAGTCGGTTCCAACCCATAGCGACCCTGTATAGGGTTTCCGAGGAGCAGCTGGTGAGCTTGAACCACCAACCTTGCAGTTCAAACGGCTATGCAGTCTGGCGCATTAACCCACAGCACCACACCAGGACTCTAGAAAGGAGATAATGACAATGTTTTTGAAAACAAGCAGAGAAATAAGGTGGTAAGAAATAGGGTCAATGAAGGGTGTATATATATGTATATATGTTGTTGTTAAGTGCCTTGGAGTCAAGGGAGGATATATATATATATATATATATGTATGCTGTGGTTAAGTGCCTTAGAGTTGGTTCGGACTCATAGTGACCCAATATAGGGTTTCTGAGGAACGGCTGGTGGGTTTGAACTGCCAACCTGTGGCTAGTAGTCCAGTGCTTATCCTACAAAGTCACACCAGTACTCTATGTAAGTCCATGTATATACATGTTGTTATTAAGTGCTGTCCAGTTAGTCATTCAACTCATAGTGACCCTGTATAGGGTTTCTGAGGCAGTACATCTTTGCGGGGGCAGGAAGCTTCATCTTTCTCCGGTAGAGCAGGTGGTGGGCTCAAACCACCGACCTTGTGGTTTGAAGTCTAGTGCTTATCACATGGAGCCACCGTGCTGTATAAATATGTACATGTGTGTTGTTGCTGTAAAGTGCAGTTGAGTCAGTTCTGACTCATAATGACCCTTTATAGGGTTTCCCAGGCTTTAAATATTCGTGGGAGCAGAAGACCTCTCCCTTAGAGCTGCTGGCAGGCTGAGACCACAGACCTTATGGTTCAAAATTCAGTGCTTATTGTATAGAGCTACCGGACTCCAATATATATATATATATAGTGTGATGTTTGTATGATGAAGGGAAAGAGGCAATGGAAAAGAAAAAAGCAAGATCCTTTTTGCTGGGAGAAGGAACATTCTTCCTTTCAAATAGGAGGGTAGTCATACAATCAAAGTGGGGATGCGAGTTGGCAGCCACCTGTGAAAGTAAAAGTTCTGGACCTATACCTACTTAGTAGGGTATGGCGCTGTGGGATCATCAGTGGATTGCCAACCATAGACCCATGGTTCAAACCCAGCAGTCGCTCCTCGGAAACCCTATACAGGGTCGCTATGAGTGGGAGTCGACTGGGCGTCACTTAACAACAACGGGGTGGCTTCTAGGATGAGCTCTAATGCAGGTCAGCTGCGGGAGACCTGGTCAAGGCCTCCGCAGGTGGAAACTCAGGTTGTCCTTGCGCACGCGCATCACCCGTTTCCGCCGAGAGGGGGCGCGCGCGCATCCGGAGGCAGCTGGTGGTGTGAGGCCGTTCTGGCCGCCACAGCCCCTCTGGGGCCGGGACCGGCCCGTTGGCGGGAGGCCCCCCAAAGAGACCGCATGTGGGGGGCCGACGAGATGGAGTCTATAACCAGTGAGTGATTATCCACTTCTCTGCCCACAGCTCGGTTTCCGGTCGCTGGATTCGTCCCGGCGGCCCCAGTCCCACAGTCAACCCGGCGGCGGCACTTCAGGGCCCCTCCAACCCTCAGCTAGAGCCCACCCCCTCCGCCTCCTCCCCGGCTGCCGATCCTCCAGCCTGGCGCCTTCCTCCCTTCCCCAGTGGAGGCCGTTTTAGGGTCAAAGGAAAAGCGGAAGGGGTTTTGAACCCCGTGGTCAAATGCGTGTTAGGGAAGTGATCTGTTCCCCATAGAAAGCCCACCGGAGACTTAGGGCCATTATCCTACTGGCCAATTGGCTCACGTGCCTTCTCCACTCAGCTCAGTCCCAAGAGAGAGGCCGCATAGGTGGGTGGTGTCCACTGCTCTGGGCCCCACTCTCTGCCTTTCCACCCATTCTGACTCAGGGACCCTAGAGGACACAGTAGAACTGCCCCCTAGGGATTCCAAAACTGCCCATCTGTATGAGAGCAGACAGCCTCATCGTTCTCCTGCCCAGTGGGCTGGTGGATTTGAACCACCAACCTGGTGGTCAGCAGTCCATATGCTTAACCCGTGGTGCCACCAGGGCTCCTTGGAGCTAAAGCAGAGACCATGAAATAGGAAGGAAGTGGACATGCTTGAGCGAGGCTCGGCGTTGATCAATAAGTACTGTTGAATAGATCAGAAAAGAGGAAGACTCTAGAACCGGAAGGATGGCAGCAGATGTGCCTGGACTGTACATGTGAGCTGGAGAGCGTAGGGCTGGGGACCCTCTCTGGAGCCCTTGTCCCCTCAGTGCTTACATATGTCCACATTTTCCTTTTCAAAAGTCGCTGCGCTGTTCTAATTTTTAGAAAATACCCAAGCATGTCCTTCTGCACACATAGTAGGTATTCAGTAAAATTCAATTGTGGGGGTGAAGCCCTGCCTCATGCATAAATGTTGTTATTAGGTGCCATTAAATTGGTTCCAACTCACAGCAGCTCTGTGTCCAACAAACTGAAATACAACCTGGTCCTGCCTTATCCTCACAGTATTGCTACAATGGAGCCCATTGTTGCAGCCATTGCCAGCCCATCTTGTTGAGTCTCTCTTTTTTTTTCTTGCTGACCCTGGTGTGGCGCTGTAGGATACGTTGTTGTTGTTGTTGTTGTCGTTAAGTGCCATCAAGTCGGTTCTGACCCGTAGTGATCCTGAACAGGGTTTCCGAGGCTGTAAATCTTTATGGGAACAGAAAGCCTTATTTTTCTCCCGGGGTAGTTTCGAACTGCTGACCTTGAGGTTCATAGCCCAATTCATAACACTAGGCTACCAGAGCGCCTTACTCGACCACAATGTTGGCTTGAACCACAAGGTCAGCGGTTCAAATCCACTAGCTGCTCCCTCCTATACAGGGTCGCTATGAGTTAGAACCGACTGGACAGCACTTCACAGCAGCAACACACTTTATCAAGAGTCCTGGTGTAAGGCTGTAGGATAAGCACTTGACCATAAGATCAGTTTGAACCTCATGAATGAGAGTTCAAACTCACCAGCCACTCCTTGGAAACCCTACACAGGGTCGCTATGAGTTGGATCCGACTCGACAGCACTTAACAACAGTATTAATACTTTCTTAAGGAGTCCTGGTGTAGAACTGTAGGATAAGTACTGGGCTGCTTATCAAAAGGTTGGCAGTTCAAATCCACCAGTCACTCCTTGCCTTTGCCTTTAACAGCAACAAAATACTTTATCAAAGCATGATATGCCCTTTTCAGTGGACTAGTCCTTCCTGGTGACATGTCCAAAGTACATGTTAAGCACCATCAAGTTGATTCTGACCCATAGTGACCCTACATCGACCTTGCAGTTCAAATGACTTTGCAGTCTGATGTATTAGCCCACAGTGCCACACCAGGACATGAGACATGCATAAATACAGCAGTTTATTGCACTGCATTGTGCCTGAATTCATTATTGGGGTCAGTGACTTTTACTCTCTCTGTCCATCCACTTTTAGGCTCAGCTGATCCCAGGTGGGTATCTGTGTCCAGAAACCCTGAGGTGCCCACAGATAAAGAGCGTTCTAAGCTCTGACACCTATTTCTTTTGTAACTCAAAAAAATTCTTTACTCTAAAACATAGGCATGTGAAAATCGAAATAGTACAGATAATATGATGTAGAAATAAAAACCCCAGCACATGCTAACCTGCTGCTCAGAAGCCACCAGCCTTTATGATCTGAAGCTGGCGCTTTCCAGACCTTTTTCTATGGATTTGTATATTTAATGTGCAGATATACGTTGTTGTTGTGAAGTGCCATCGAGTCAGTTCTGACCCATGGCAACCCTGTATAGGGTTTCTGAGGAGCAGCTGGTGAGCTTGAACTGCCAACCTTGCAGTTCAAACAGTTTTGCAGTCTGGCACATTAACCCACAGCGCCACACCAGGATATATGTATATTATACCAATTTGTTTTATAAAAACTAAGACAATACCATGTATTTTATGGCTTATTTTCTTTCTAGTAAATATATTGTGGAAACCTTTTCACATCTTTAGGGTTACTGCTTTCTTTTAAATGACTACATTGTATTCTATTTAAAACCAAACCACTTGTTGCTGTTGAATTAATTCCAACTCAACAGCAACGCTATAGGACAGACTAGAGCTGCTCTGTACAGCCAACTTTAGAGGACCTAGTGGAACTGCTTTGTAGGATTTCCAGGACTGTATTCTTTATGGAAGACTTCCATGTCTCTCCCATGGAGCAGCTGGTGGATTCCAACCACTGATCTTCTGGTTGGCAGCCAAGCATTTAACCATTGTACTACGAGGGTTCCTTATAGTCTAGTTAACCATCGTCTAGTTAAGCAATCCCATATTGAAGGACATTTAGGTTATTTTGCCACGTTTGGTTAGCATGCAGTGAATCTACATTTGGATTTCAGCTGTGACCTTAATACACTTTGGGACCGGTGCTAACCACAGGCAGATCATGGGAGGTCTGAGACTGTATTTTCTGAGTTCCCAGGCTGAATATTGCAAGAATCACCTATGTTCATTTTTTATTCTGGGAATAGAACATCATCAGTAAAATTCTGTAAAATGAGATTGGTCTGTAATTCTCAGATGAATCCCTTGCTTATACTCTTGCTTTATAGTAGCCTAAATTATCCATTTTGGGGCTAAGCTCCCAAACCAACTTTTCTAAGGTACCATGTGACATGGATTGACCTCATCCCTTTACCCTATACCAGATGAAACCACACATCCCTGAGAGGGTGGAGACTGGGTTGTCAGGAGGCTGCTTTTAACTGTGCACCGCTGGGACAGAGCAGACTAGTTCGCTTGTCCTTTTGACCTAATCTCGGCCTTTGCAGGTGAGCTGCGCTCTCTCCGGGAGGAGATCTCCCTGTTGGAGCATGAGAAAGAAGTTGAACTGAAAGAAATAGAACAGGAGTTGCGCTTGGCCCAGACTGAAATCCGGACTCTGCGGCAAGCAGCAGAGGATTCGGCGACCGAGCATGAGAGTGACATAGCTTCCCTGCAGGAGGACCTGCTAAGGCTGCAGACAGAGCTCGATGACATGGAGCGCATCCGGGGGGAGTATGAGCTCGAGATCTCCTCCCTCCGGGCAGAAATGGAAATGAAGAGCTCTTACCCATCCAGTACCTTAACTTCCTCTGATATCTCTGACTTGCAAGGTAAGAGAACAGCCCTGATCTTGGTCTCCTAGTCAGTGAAGTCAGGCAAAGAGAAGGTGGTAGATCCTAAATTGGGAAACTTCGAGAAAAAAAAATCTCCAGGTTGCATTTGAGATTATAAAGGAGCAAAATGTACCCAGGTGTTACATAATGGTTTAAGAAACAACCCCGTGACAGTGGAAATTCTTCTTCAGAGGGCCATTTGTTGAGTGGACTCTGTGAATGCCCTTTCTGGGAGAGCTTCCAGTTGTAGGATGAGAGTAGAGGGCCTGCCACCTTGGGAAACTTCCCACCGGTCTGGCACCATGGCGTTTTTTCTGGATCACTTTATGGTGGGTCTCCAATCCTGCTTCCCAGTTCTTAGACTCTTCTAGCCCTCCCCAAAGGAGAAGCTTCAGGGGGCAACAAATGAGGACAGATGCCAGCTGGAGAGAAAGGGAGGTTATTTCTAGTAGCACATAAATGTGCTCAAAAGCTCAGAGCTCTGCTTTCAGACAGCAAGGCTCCTAGCTAGTTGCTAGGACTCATGATGCCAGAGAGCTTGCCTTTATCCTGAGGCTAGATTTATGATCTGGGTATAAGGGAGGCTCTATTTAGGCCAGGCCAAAGAGTGTCCATCAACAAGGAACCAAAGAACTTCAGATTTTTCTCGCTGTATCAAGCCTGTGGACTGCTGGTGCTAAGAAAGCCAGCTTGTTGTCTGTGTTGTTGAGTTGGTTCCTGCTTATAGTGACCTGTATAGGTTTCAGAGGAGCAGCTGGTGGGTTTGAACCGCCAGTCTTGTGATTAGTATTTCAGTGCTTATCCTATAGCACCACACCAGGCTTGCACAGTAGAAAGACCTCAGCTGGAGTTCGAGAGTAGAGTTCAGGACCCCAGTTCCACTAATTAGTGGGATGAACTTAGATGTTCTCTCTCTCTTAGCCTTAGTTTCTCGATCTGAGAATGTGAAATTGGAGTTGGTCTTTAACTCTTAAGTGATTCCTTAGAATCATTGGAAATTGCACAAAACCGGAGATTCTAGAATAGGAAAAGGATATTAAAGAAAATGGAATGAAACCCAGATAAATAGTGTCATTTTGTTAATAGTCAAGTACCAATGTTGGTTCCTTGGTTTAAACTGGTGCGTCATGGTAATGGAAAATGTTAACAGCAGGGACACCTGGGTGAGGACTCTCCCAGGAAAGGATCTCTCTTTTACTTTAAATCTAAAAACTAGTCTCAAATAAAAAGTTTATTTTAAAAAACATTACTGAACTATTTGGGAGCTCTGACTCCATACAATAAGCACTGACCTATGAACTACAAGGTCCATGGTTTGAGCCCGCCAGCTGCTCCATGGGAGAAAGATGAGACTTAAGATGAGGCTTTCTACTCCCGTGAAGCTGATAAGCCTTGGAAACCCTAGATAGGGTTGCTATGAGTCCGAACCAACTTGACAACACTTAACAACAACAACACAACTAGTTAGGAGTAGGGTGGTGTGGTGGGTTGATGCTGGGCTGCTAGGTCTGTGGTTCAAACCCACTACCTATTCCACAGGAGACAGATGAGCCAGTCTGCTTCTGTAAAGACCTACAGCCTTGGAAACCTCTGTCAATAGGGTTGCTGTGAGTCGGCGTCAACTTGATGGCAGTGGGTTTTGGACTAGGTCACTATGAGTTGGAACAGATTCCACAGCAAACAACATCTGGGGAGTAAATGAAGTGCCATGTTAAAAGCAGTCACACACTACCAGAGGCTGAAACTACTAAGTCTGATGATTAGCACATGGTTACTTTTCATTAAAGATTAGTTTCCTTCCTTCTGTGGTAGTCTGCAGTAGTCCAGGACTTCTGATCCTGGAATAGAGGGTGCAATTGGAATAGCTTTTCAGGGTGTTGAATCTTATGGTAGATAGAAGTTGTTAGTGCTTTCGATTCGGTTCTCACTCATAGTGCCCTGTATAGGTTTCAGAGGAGTGCTTGGTGGGTTTGACCAACCAGCCTTGTAGTTAGCACTCTAGTGCTTATCCTACAGTGCCACACCAAGCAGGTAAGATAGGTCCTAATTAAAGGGTCTGAATTAAAGCAAGTCAGTGTTGCTGACATTTCTGTAGAATTCATGAATAGTAATTCTTAATCATTAAGAAACAAAGCAGATAGGGGTATCTGTGTTATCGCAGCAGTAAAATGTATTGATGCCTGCTACTTAGGAACCTAATTGGACGTTCCAGGTGGCTAAGATGTGGGTCCACTTGAGGCAGACTTGCCTGTTAGTAGGTGAAAAGCCTTGGGAAGGATACCTGAGGAGCCCATCCAGGCCAGTGTATTCGATCAGATGATAGAGGGATACCAGAATACATGGGTTCTCTCTGAAAGGTGGATGGCAGTGTGTCATCTGACAGCTTTTTGTAACAAGAACCTAATAGGAAGGCAGTTTGAAACAGCTCAATGAAGCCCTTTCAACATAGCAAACCCCAAACTTAACCAAACCCTCCAAAGCTAGAGAAGTTTAAGACCGTGCTTTGGTGTTGGGGCTTTGAAGATTAATATACAGGGAACAATCTTCTGGGAGGATAAGAAGAGCAGCTGCCTTCTTCTCACAATGAGAAAGACCATTGCAGTGTGGAATTGTCTGGGCCCTGCCTCCTAAGCCTCTGCACGTAGTCTCGCTTTTGTCTTCACCTCCAGGGGTACAGTGTTGCCTTCTGCCCTCACATCTCTAGGTGGGAACGTTGAGGGCTGGTCATTAGGTTCTCACCTCTCTCTGCTTGTCCTCTGCAGAAGAACTGGAACAACTGCGGGAACGCTACCGCTACCTGAACGAGGAGTATCAGGCCCTGCAGGAGAGCAACAGCAGTCTCACAGGACAGCTTGCAGATCTGGAGAGTGAGAGGTACAGCCAAGAGGCCCTCTAGGACTCTGCCTTAGGCATATAGCAGCAGAGCATATGCTCCTGGAGAACCAATCCCTGTCATGGGACCCAAAGGAGACAGATATGCCTAGAAGCAGGCATGGGGTGGGGGGCGCTTAGGAGTAGAGTTGAGTATGTTCTAATATCATTTTCTTCCATTCCAGGCTTTGGGGTCTGTTTTGTGCCACTCTAGAGTATATTAGGATAAGCACTGGACTGCTAACTGCAAGGTCGGCAGTTCAAACTACTAGCTGCTCCTTGGAAACCACCCTACACAGGGTTGCTATGAGTCCGAACTGACTGATGGCACTTAACAACAACGGAGTGTATTAAAGGAGCCCTGGTGGTGCAGTGGTTAAGCACTTGGCTGCGAAGCAAAACGTTGGCAGTTTGAACCCACCAGTTGCTCCATGGAAGAAAAATGTGGCAGTCTGCTTTCATAAAGATTACAACCTGGAAAACGTTATGGGGACATTTTCTTTAACTGAGTCAGAATCGATTTAGTGGTAACTGGTTTTGGGCTAAAGTATATTAGAAGTGATTCCTTCCTTGCTGGCCCAGGCTTGATTCTGTCTAACAGCAGAACGCCTCCAGTTGGCTGATCTCCAGACCCTCCCTGAAGCCCAGCTGGCACTAATACTCGGAGGGTCTCCTATCCTAGTGCAGCCATGTCTTTACAGACTGAGATGCTGGGGACTCTTTCTGTAATCTCTTAAACGTTTTTGTTTGAGAGGCAATTCCCAGTCGGCAGTCTCGATCTTTTGCTGAAATGAAGGCATCAGGGTCAAGCAGGATGGCTGGTGGTGCCAGGCAAAGCCACCTCCCAACATACCCCTGGGCTTCTGGATTGCAGAACACGAAGAGCAACTGAAAGGTGGCTGGAGGCCCAAACCCTAAAGACGATGTCATCAGCAGAGTCTCAGACGTTAGAAATGGATTTCCTTGAGCCTGACCCTGAGACTGAGTCGTTGCGACAGCAGCTCCTGGGAGCAGAGGAGCAGATGCATGACATGAAGAGCAAGGTAGGGCTTGAGGTGATGCAGCAGGCACCTCTAGCACCTCTCTACGACCTGCCCTTCCTAGCCTGTGGTCAGAATGCCACTCAGGCTGTCGCAGGGGACATGCACTATGGCCAAAGATATTATTGGGGGGGTGGCGGTACAGGGAGACAAGGGGCTGCTTTGCCTGAGGTAAGTGTGTCAGTGAGAGGAATGCCATGCTAGGCCTCCATCTGCTCTGGGAGTACTTCTGGCCCTGAAGTAAGTCAGCTGTCCGGTTCCCTTCCTGCACAGTGTAAGGAATTGTGTTGTGAGTTGCAAGAGCTGCAGCACCAGCGCCGGACCAGTGAGGAGGAGCAGAAGCGGCTACAGAGGGAACTCAAGTGCGCGCAGAATGAGGTCCTGCGGTTCCAGACGTCTCACAGCATCACCCAGGTAAACACTGACAAGGAAGGGCAGGAGGGCCTCCATGGCATCCCTCACTCTTCAGCAGGGTGGGAAGCCCAGAGAGCCAGGCTGTGTGCAGTTGCCTCTTCCCTCTTACTGGGGCTATAGTCTCCTGGAGACTCATTGGAGAACTCGTACAGCACTGTGTTCTAGAACCGGCTGTGCTTACTGAGCGTGGGCCTCAGAGAAGAAGCCAAAGGCCTAGCCTTGGGGCGCCCTCCTCGAGCTGTCTGTGTCTTAGCAGGCACCAGAGGGCTCTGCTGTTTGCTGACAGTAAGTGCTCTGCCTGCGTCCTCCCACCACAGAATGAGGAGCTGAAGACCAAGCTCTGTGCCCTGCAGGAAAAGTATGATGCTAGCCAGGAGGAGCAGAACGAGCTCTTGAAGGTGCAGCTCCAACTTCAGACTGAGCTCCGGCAGTTCAGAGTCACAAAAGCCACAACCCTAGAAAGTCATAGTGATAAGGTAACAGGGACTGCTTAGGGGCTAAGTGCGCCTGCCTGCGGTTTGGGGGAAGAAGGGGTAAGAACAGAGAGTTAAAATAACCCCAGCTGCTACCTATGCCTTCCCTTCCCCAACACCTACACTAGATAAGACGACAGGCAGTCGAAGGAGGGCAGGGAGAGGTAAATCTGTATTCTATTGGGGTCTGAATGTGGCCCTGGGCAGGACAGTGGGGTGAGGCCCTCAGTGGCACTGCCCAAAGCCCCCTCCACTGTAGGAGTTACAGTGCCGGCTCCAGCGGCTGCAGCAGCAGTACCAGAACACCGTGTGTGAGAAGGAGCGGCTGCTGGAAATAGAGCAGCAACTGCAGGATGACCTGCAGGGCCTCGAGGCCGAGGTGCAGCGCCTCAAGGACATTGAGGCCTCCTTCCAAGAGAGCATGGATAAGGTAAAGGTGCTTCAGGTGAGGGAGAGCATAGCAAGGCAGTGTCTCCTGTGAGGGTCCCAGCAGGAGTTGTGTGGAGTGGCTGTGGCAGAGAGAGGAAGGTGACCTCATGGTCACAGTCCTCTCTGCTTCCTTTGATTTTTTTAAGCAGTCAGCCTCTAAAAAGGAAGGCCCTTTCCTTCTCTGCCTCCCATAAGAAGGAAGCTCCAGAAGGCCTGAGTTTAGATCCTGTTAAGGATTGGTCCATTTTGGGGCTCTCCCACCGGGATGAAGTTGGGGCTGGGAAGCCCAGGGTCAGATTCTGCCTGTGAGAAGAAAGGACAGCCGCAGGGAGCTCCTGGGATGATGGCAGGGTCTGCCTCCCGCCCCAGAACGAAGAGATGCACAACCAGCTTCAGGAGATGAAACAGCTGTACCAGGCAAGCAAGGACGAGCAGGAGCGGCAGAAGCACATGTACAATCAACTTGAGCAGGACTTCAAGCTCTGCCAGCAGGAGCTGAAGCAGTTTAAGAGCACCCAGAACCTTCCAGAGGACAAGGGGAAATGTACCACTAAGGTAATGGTCACGCCGAGGGGTGAGAGCTCCTGGACCAAGCCCAGCGCCATGGCATAGCGGGCTCTCTACATACAGATCACAGTCTGAACACCTGAGGTTCTTGACATGATCTCCATGTGTGTAGGCATTCATCCATTGGTATTAGAACAGTAGTGGTATCTAGTGATTCATGGAGAACACACACATTGGCCCATATATGTAGCTAGTATTGTTAGAACTAGAGAGGTCCAGTTTCCTGTGGTTACATCCTGTCAGAGTACTCAGTAGCTCCTGGCCACAGCCAACATTAGACTGTCCTTTCAGAAGATAACAGATGGAGAAGATTATGTGGGCCACCTCAACGGCCCCCTGCCTTTCTGTACCCAGGCCCATGTTTCCTCCTCCCCGACTCCCATTCAATTTCCAGCCCAGGGGTTACATGGCTATTTGCCATGACCTGAACATCACCACCTATCCTGTGGAAGGAGAAGCTGCTGAACTACAGAGCCCCCTTTCTCTCTAATCATAAGTCAGCATTGACATTCATTTGATGCGAGCTTTGTTGTTGTTAAGTGCCATCAAGTCCATTCTGACTCCCAGCAACCCTGTATAGGGATTCCAAGGAGTGGTTGGTGAGTTTGAACTGCCAACCTTAAGCTAGCAGTCCAATGCTTATGTACTTGGAATCCTGCGGTGATTTTGTCTTAACTCGCTTCAGCAATAGCTTATACATTACTAAAGATTTAAGAGATCATTTTGAAAACAGAATCAGAGGGAAATTAAAATGAATTAAGTCCTTACTGGTAAGGAGTCTAGATAGGTCTAAAATATAAGTGGGGATAACAAGCCTAACAGCTACAACTCCCAGCCAAGTAGGAGAGTGGTCAGCCAGAGAAAGGGGAGGTGGGGAAGCAGGAAGGGAGGATCATGGACAACACTCCCACTCAATGGTCCTTCAAAGGAAATAGTAGTAGACATTCCGAGCAGAGCCAACCAACAGTCTGGCGGAGCATCTGCTGAGGTTCCCAGCTGAGCATCTCGGTCTGATTGGTAGGGATACAGAATGGTTTGGGGTGATCGGTCCAGAAGACCCCGGTGACTCCTATGAGGTATGAGAGGGCAAAGGTGCCCTGCTAGCCACCCCGTAGAGAGAACTCTCTGGAAGCATCCTTGCAGAGTAACTGCTCCAGCCACACCTGCCCCCCATCCACAGTGTGATGAACTGCTGTGCAGACTGACAGACTTGCAGGAGCAATACCAGGACAGCCAGAAGGAGCTAGAGCAGCTGCAGATGGAGCAGTGTGAGCTCCTGGAGGACCAGAGGCGGCTGCAGGAGGAGCAGGGCCAGCTGCAGGAGGAGCTGCACAGCCTCACCCTCCCACTCCCCAGGACTGCCTTCGTCCACAAGGTAACCACGGCCCAGGGTCAGCGCCTGGCTGTGGGCCTGGCTGTGGAGCAGTGTGTGCAGAGGGTTTCCATGTGTGACTCTGGGAACAAATGCAAGGCTAGGGGTTGGACATTTCATCTCTTAACCGACCACTCCTTCCTGTCTCACCAGACTTCCCAAACCAAAACAGCAAGACTTACAGCTGATTATGGTACTTCTCATAAGGGCTTTCAGTCGTCATTATGCTTTAGACTCGAACCAGCAGCATAGCATTTTCTGTTGCTCCATCTAGAGGAAATGTATTTGAAAGCATTTTGCAAACTACAGATTACACCCTATCCAAATGTAATAGGTTATTGCTGATGAGTTAGTGATCTCCATAGAGAGACTCATCCCCAACCATATGGATTGTGCAAAGCCAACACAGAGTCTGAAGGGAGTGGGCCCCAGAAGGGATGGGGCCAGAAAAGAGCATGGGCTTCCATCCGACCACTGCAACTCTGTCCTCCTCCCTTTCACTCTCCTTCACAGAGTCAGGAGCTCCTTAAAAAGTTACAAGATCTTTGTGAACTGCAGCTGTCCTGCCAAGGCCTGCAGGGTGACCAGAAAAAGCTGCTGGAGACTCAAGGCAGCTTATTGAAAGAACAAGTCTTGATGCTTGGAAAGCTACGACTTTACAGAGAGTCCCATTTCCAGGAGGTGTTGGAGAACCCCAATAATTCCAAATTGCCAAAATCCTCAAAACATGATCCTAGCAAGGTAATGACAGCATGAGGTCATGTGTAGCCAGGGAGGCAGCTCTCTTGAGGACCACAGCATTGCAGGGAAGGGGGCTTCACACAAGGGTCAGGGTTAGGAAGGCCTGATGGGCAAGTGGTAAAAATGAGGCTAAAGCCTGCCCAGTGTCACTGACCATGACCATCTGGATGCACTGAAATGTGTCTTAGGATAGCCTGGGGGATCTTGCTCAGATGCCTGCCCAACTGTCCTACTCTGAACACCTGAACAGAGCTGGGATAACCCAGAAGCTGGAAATCTGGTCATTTGGCTTAGTCCCTATCATTGTCAAGATGAGCTAATACCAACTTAGTATGTGTTTGGGTTCCTTTGGACTGACTCTAAACATGTCATCTTTCTCTCATGAACTGAAAGTACACTCCTCTGTCATCAAAGTCCCATAACCTTTTGGTCTTCCACATGAAGCAAATGTAGGGTCATTCATTTCCAAGGGCAAGAATCGTAGCATATGGGATTCTTATAACTGACCGCACTATCTTTGGAACTTTGGAGGCAATGATAGAGTCAGGTCAGGAGTGTTGGACAGAGAGCTAGTATATCTCTTCACCAGCCAGTGACCAGGCCTGTGAGGTCATATGGACAGAGATTCCCATGTGGATCTATTTTGTTGTGAGTGAGTTTAGTGTGAGCAAGGAAGAGCAGGTAGACAGTATCAGCCTATTCATTCCAGTATTAGCCTGGACAAGGAGAGCCAGGGAGTAGCAGAAGGCCGAACTGTGTGACGGGAACCAGGTATAAAATCATTCCTTAATCAGTCAGGTCTCAGCAGCCAAGAAGGCAGGCCCAGAGTACCTGGAAATGGGCCCAGCAGCCAGGTTCTGAATTGGGGCAGAGGGTACAGGGCAGGTAATGAGATCTGGATTCCAAGTCCGCATCCTCTGAGGAAGGGCTGATTTGAGGGGAGGGAAGACTAAGCTATAGGTCTGGCAAATGGAGAGAGGGCTATACCAGAGATCATGGGGTCTCTGCCCAGGGAGACTTTCCCACACGAACAAAAATGGACACCTGCTAGGTGGAGTGGAGGACCCAGAGGCTGTGGTGAAACTGGAGTGTAGGTGTGCAGTTCTAGAAGGTGCACTCAGACATCTGACCTAGAGGGGTGTGACTGGAACTGCAGTGGCCAAGAGTAATGGTCATGTCTCCCACCCCACCCCACCCCATCCCTGCAGTCTAAGGAGCTCATTGCCAAGCTTCAGGGCCTACAGACACTGTACCAGGCGGGGGAGGTCCAGCAGGAGCTGCTGCAACAGGAGCAAGGGAGGCTCCTGGAGGAACACCGGCGGCTTCAGGCCGACTTACAGCTCTGCCTGGAAGAAATGCAGCTGCTCCAAGCCCAGTCCCCTACCATCAGAATGAGCCTTGAGTCCTACAAGAACAGTCAAGACAGCATGCCTGCCAGCAATGAGAGCTATCACAAGAGTTACAATAGCAACCAGACGAGCACAGAGAGCGTTCTCAAGAGCTACGTGAGCAGCAGCAACAACAGTGAGGTCTCTAACCAGAGTCAGCATGCCAGCAGCAGTGACAGCATCAGCTACCAGAAGAGTTATGGCAGCAGCACCTATAGCAGTGACAGCTATAACAAGAGTTACACCAGCAGCATTGACGACGTCGCTGCTGAGCCAGAAGATCTGGAGGTAACAGCAACCAGGTGGCAGGTCAGACAGGCAAGGACAGGCACTTGGCTTTTTAAGAGAGAAGTAGGGAGAGAATGGGTCAGGCGAGTAAGGCACTTCCTGCCCACCCACCCCACCCACCCCTCAGGCTTTGCCTTCTCATCAGCCCCACTGGTCAGGAGATGCTCCCATCTGGAGGGAGGCCTAAAAGTCAGGACTTTTCATCAACACTGTCATGGTGCTCGTTAGGAAAAGAAACAGTACTTCTCTTGGGCAGCTGCCTGTGGCCATTGTGTCCTCCAGCAGTGGGGGTGGGGGTGGTGCAGGTGCTCCTCTGGTGCCATCATACGTGCCCGCCCTCCACAGCGCTTGGAGGAGATGGTCGCCAAGGTGTTGATCAAACTGCAGGCTGTGCAGGCCATGTACCAGGTCAGTCAGAACGAGCACAGCATCCTGCAGGAGGAGATGAGAAAGTTGCTGGAGAAGCAGAAAAAGCTGAGGGAAGAGCTGGATGACTGTGAGAAGGAATTCAAGGACTGCATGGAATGCCTAGAGAAGCCTGCTACCCTCCAAAATGACAAGAATGAGGTAACTGCTCTCAGGGAGGCAGGGTTTCTTCCAGAGCCCCGAGTCAGTCAGCAAGTTGTGGCTGTTCAGAGAGGAGAAAGAAGGTGGGTCTGCACTGCCTGCCAGGCCACGGTAGGGTCATCTTTCCAACCTGAGACTGAATCCCAGGAGGCTGATGTGCTAGGAGGCATAGTCTCTGGCAGGAGTTGCTCCCTGCCCAGTGGAGGGAGCAGCGTGCACATGGGTGTAGATTTATAAGTATTAGTGCCTGCTGAGGAAGTCACAGAATGCTGCCACCAGTCAAGACAGAACCAGAGACTAAGGAGCAGGGCTGCAGTTGCCTCTATCTTAAGGAGAGGTACAGGAGCCAAGTCATGTGATCTCCAGCAGTCTTCAAAGCTGGACACAGTTTCTTGGGTAATTGTACTTGCTAGAGAAATAGGTTGAGTGAAGTAGGAGTCCCCATTACAAAGGATATAATAAGACCCTAAGATTTACAAGTGATAACCCTAGGGGGACTCCCAAGAAAAGTCACAGTAAAAAAATCTAAGTCACTGTTGATATAAATCATCAGGTGCTTCAAGTCAGGGAGAAGCTACTTGTCAGTCTGTTTCAGAGGCTCATTGTCCATGTGTTGATGTTCTTGTCTGCTTTCCACGGGCTTCAGCAGGCATCTGTCTGGAGCAGTGGCACTAGGCAGGGCCCAGGCTGCCAGGGTTGGCTTGGCTCTAGGTAACCAGCCCTCCACCACCTACAGATCAAAGAGCTGCAGACCAAACTGCGGGAGCTACAGCTGCAATACCAGGCTAGCATAGACGAGCAGGGCCGGCTCTTAGCCGTTCAGGAGCAGCTGGAGGGGCAGCTACAGTGCTGCCAAGAGGAGCTTCTCCAACTCAAGGAGAAGAGGCTCTCTGTTTCCAAAGACCTCAAGGTTAAGAACAGCAACAAGAACATGAACAAGAACGCCAATGGGCTGAAAAACAAGAAGCCAAGTGTGGCCAAGAGTGAGGGCTGCTTTGAGACCAGGCAAAACGTGAGTATGACCTTGGTAGCCAGCTAAGCAACAAGGTGGAGGAGGTCCTGGAAAGAAACCTCATCTCCCTCCGGGTGGAGGGGTTCTCCCAGGTGAGAGATTTGTAGAAAAGGCTCTGGAGTCTCTAGAGCATCAAGAGTTCATCTGAGGAGACTTGTGGTACTCCTGTTTCCTGAGAAGTCACAGGGAAAGTAAAATGCAGACAAACAGAGGGCTAGCCCCCAAACAGCCCCAGACTCAACAACCACTTTCATTATTCTATTCCCTTTTTCTGGGGGCCCCCATTCCTGATGGGTTATGTGCCCAGTAGAAGAACCAGATATATGAAGAGAGGAATATATTCATAGTAGTTGTGTTCTACTGAGTGTACCAGGGTTGGGTCCAATGGAATTGCCATGCAAGGGATGGAAGCCACAACTGAGGTGCAGAACCTTTAGTTCTGGTAGCTGTTGACACCTCTTAATGGCCAAGTAAGGAGCTCTGGTAGCGTAGTGGTTACGAATTGGGCTGTGAACCACAAGGTCAGCAGTTCAAAACTACCAGCTGTTCCGCGGGAGAAAGATGAGGCTTTCTTCTCCTGTAAAGATTTACAGCCTTGGAAACCCTGTACAGGGTCGCTATGAGTCGGAACCGACTCCATGGTACATAACAACAACAACAATGGCAAAATAGATGTGTTGGTCCAGAGATCCTAGGGGTGACTGCCTTCCATGCTATACCAGATTGACTCAAAATCTCAAAATCCTGTGCTCCACCCTTGCAGGAAATAGAGGGTAGGACTCTTCATAGGTAACAGCATCCCCCACCTCCACCCCACAGAGTCTGGAGGTGGTGCTGTACTACGAGGCCAGCCAGAGGGAACTAGATGAACTAACAAGAGAGCAGGAAAAGAAAGAGGAAACAAGGAAAGAGTCCTGGGATGAACCACCTTCTGAGCTGTCAGATCTTAGAGGACCTAGCTCAGCAGGAGAATTGGAAGAATTGGAAGAGTTCCATGACCTGGAGAATAAGGAAGATGAGGACGATGATGACTCTTGCCCTGAAACTTCAGAGGGAAACCCTCTCAAACTTTCGGAGAGCAAAAAGGTAACTGCACTCAAAGGCTGGCTCCAGTGGGAAATGGGCTCTGGAGCTCAGGTGCCCTGTGTTCAGGGTGCTGAGGATGGAAACCTGCAGGAATGGGCAGGAATGAGGAAATGGACTGGTCCTGAGAAAGCAGTCTCTCCATAGTAGGTTTACATCAGATTCCTGTGGAACCTTCTGGCAAAGCCACCTTTCCCCAAGTAGAATCTTTAGAGTCTTAGCTGCTCTCATTTATGTGGTAGCCCTTGCTCCTTACCTCTCTCCTTAGGGGTGGTTGGTAGTGGTTATATGCCATGGAATTGTTCTAACTCATAGCGACCCTGTATAGGGTTTTTGAGGCTGTATATCTTTATGGGAGCAAAAAGCCTCATCTTTCTCCCATGGAGCCTCTGGTAGGTTCGAGGTGCGGACCTTGCACAGCCTAACTTTCAAGTCACTACCCTACCAGAGTTCCTTAGCACTACACTAAGGACATGGACAGTGTGAGGCTTTAAGGGCATATCTGTCACCCTGAGCAAGGCACTCAGCCCTGCTTTCCTATGGTGCCCTATTAGGTTTAAACCTTTCTATCATTATTAAGGAGCTCTGGTAACATAGTGGTTATGAATCAGGCTACGAGTCACAAGGTCAGTTCAAAATTACCAGCTGTTCTGTGGGAGAAAGATGAGGCTTTCTGTTCCTGTAAAGATTTACAGCCTCAGAAACCCTGTACAGGGTCGCTATGAGTCGGAACCGACACCACGGCACATAACAACATCATCATTATTATTAGGGCTGTGGGGAGGGATGTAAATCTCTGCCTTGTAGAAATTGGCATGTGGAAGGCCTGGGGTGACTAAGGGCAAAAGTCAGAATATTTCAGCCTGTGCAGGGGCACTGACCAGTCCAAGGAGACTACCATAGCCCTAACGCTTTAGTTGCTGGATCTCTGCAGGTTGGGTGGGGGATGTGCTGGGATGGCAGGAGTAATTTACTGACTTTACAGAAGTATTTTCAATATTTTAACAACTAGCACGTCTGTATAAGCTTGTACCAGCTCATTTCCTGCCCTGGTTGAAGTCACTGGGGTCTCTGATTACTTCTTGAATAAGTTTTCAGGTGATAGTAAAATTGCTCTCTGTCCTTCTAAACACAGAGAAAGGAAAGCAAGTCCCTTGTGGGATGGCCCAACAGCTGCTAAGGATTCCGGCGTTTTCTAGCACCTCAATCTGCAGCATTGGGCCAGGGTCCAGTGACAAGGGGTCCTTACTTAGGAGACAGAAGTCAGAGCAGCTATACTCCTGTCTCCCCCATTGTACTTGGACTCGTCTTATTTCCCCATGGACATTTCTAAAAGTCAGACCTGATTTCCTACTTCACTCTGGTATCCATCCCCATTCCCCTTAGCTCTACTGTGCCTGCCTCCTCCGCAGGCAACTCCACTAACATGCGTGTTAGCACCTTTAACTTCCGTTTTTCCTCTGTAGTTTGCACTCAGAGAATCAGGCCTTGTTAGTGGTTAGCTTGTGGTAGTGTATTTTGTCTCACCATTCCAGCATTAGTCTACTAGGAGATTATGGACACCAGAGCCCAAAATACTCATAGAGGTTTAAAGGAAAACAGAACAAGGGGTTTCACAAAGGGAGGAAGTGGCCCGCAGAAGACTGGTTCTAGAGTGGTCCAGGAAAGGTGCATGCCATGTTCTTGTGTGGGAGCCCAGCTTTCCTCTCTGGAGCTTCACTTGTCCAGGGTCACTGACCTACAAGGAAGGTCCATGTGCAGACACTCCCTGCTTGATGAGACAGGAAACTGGACTTCCTGCCTGGCTTGGCTCTCCACTGCTCCTTTAACCCATCAGTTTTGCGTCTTCTACAGGTTCCCAGTGGGAAGAGCCAAGGTCTCAGGCAGCAGAGCAGAAAGACTGCTGCTCTAGCTAACCTGCTTTTTAACCGCTGATTCCTTTCTCTTTCCCCTTGTTTTATCATCTTCATTATCTGTTGGATTCATGTGTTTTTGTCTTTTTCACCACCTCTCATCTCCTGGTCTCTCCTTGTGCTTCTTTCTTGTTTGGTATGTTGCAGCCATCCCCTGCCCCCAACCCCCCCATCTTCTCCTTGCCTCTTGTAGGCCTGCTGGTCATCTCGGCTTTGCTCTGGTGCTGGTGGGCTGAGACGGCGTCCTAACACAGGTACTGGTATTGCTTCCTCTCCTTCGGAGGGACACAGGGAGGGGACTGGTGGCCCGAGCCTCTCCCCTTTCCTTTTCCTCTCAGCTCCTGGCTTCTTGTGTTTGCCATTCACTGTACAGCAGGTTTTACTCAGGTCTGAGTTTTCATCTTGACTTTTCGTTGGGCACCTGCAAAGCCCATCACATCTCTGCACATCTTCATAATGCATAGGGAGTTGGGAATGCTTACCAGAGACGTAGTTTGAGTTTCTGCCCAGAGTTGGAAAAGATTGGAGGAGCCCAGCACTTCTACTGCTTTCAAAACTGCCTGACTTCTGATGAGGTGATGTTTGTCTGCAAGGCTGGCCCGGGCTCTGTTGGGCCCAGAGCCAGGCTCTCACTACTGTTGCTACCCAAGATGGCAAAATAAGGACTTCTCCTTTCTCATGGGTATGTGGTGTGTGGACAGAAGAGTTCTGGGGAGCTGTGTCTCTGAGGGTGGCTGCAATTTGTCCTTCAGCCTTGATGAAAGTGGACTTGAAACTGCTTCCATATGATGTGTTTTCTACTGAAATGTCCTCTGCTGTGGGACTTGAGTTCTTCTGGGAAATCAGAACAAGAATGGAAATATTTTAGAGTTCTGTTTATCCATTTTGGGTGCCAGATTCCATTGTAATTGACCTCCCCAGCTAAGTTTTCTCAGAGAATGTGGTGAAAAGTTTCAACTAAGTATTCTCAGAGAATCAAGACTAATGCATCCTGGGTACCTTACAGTTGGCCTCTGTCCATATAATCTGCTCTGTCAGCAGGAGCCTGACTTCAGGAGGCAGAATGTGGCCTTGTAGCCTGGAGTAGAAGCCCAGGGTTCCACCTGCCTTCTGGAAGCTATTAACTCTTCTCTCTCAGCCTGTTTTGGCTCCTCTCTCATGCTCTCCCTGCCACACTCCCTCTGCCTTCCAGCCTAGAAGAGAAGTGGATCAGCTAACGCACGTAGCACGTACGCACGCATGCACACACAGCCTGGCCTCAGAGTGTCAGGTGCAGCCCATGTTGGGAACACTCCGCATCACTTCCTTTTCCCTCTCACCTTTGTTTTCCCTGTTTTATTCTCTTCCAATCCTTCTTTATGTTAAGCCTCCCCGTCACTCTCCACGGACAGTCTTTACTTGTTTAGTGACAAGGGTCCCCCTGCACTTTCCACGGTTGCTGAATCTCTGTGGAATAGGACCTAAGGCACCGGCCACAAGCTCTTGCAGTCAGAACTCAGCCAGGCCCATGGTGAGAAGAGGGAACTCCTGGCTAAGGGTTCCCTATGGGGTCCCATTTGACTCAGAGCTCTGCCTAAGCTCCGAACAGAGGCAGCAAAGTATGGCAGAAAGTGGGACTGGCAGGTGCTCAGAAGAATTTGATTGAGTTCTGTCTCTTCTTTTTACAGGCTTGTCACAGTGAGTAAGATGTGTAATCTGAACATTAGCTTCCTCAAATGTTAACAAAATGATGAAAACCTCTGCTCTCTCACAGTGCTTTTGTGAGGCTCTGATGAGTGTGTGTATATGAAAGTACTACATAAGTAACCACAGTCTACCCATACACATATAGTACATACTGGGTGCCAGGCATTACATACAGGAACTCACTGACTCCTGTCTTTAGCCCTGTGAGGTCACTATCATGAGGAGGATCTGTTTACACAGGAGGGAAAAAAAGGTATAGGGAGGTTAACTGATAACACCTAGGAACTCATGAATTGGACCGAAAGGACTTCATATTAGCAGCAGATACAATTCCAGGCCTGCTTCCCCTTAGCTTCCCTCCTGGTTTCAATGAATTTTCCTTGGTTGGGACCAAGTAATTAGGAAAACACCATATTTCTGTGTATGCAGCTCACATGATACTAGCTGCTTGGTAACTAATATCACATTGTTAACTTATTGCAGGTCTCTGCACATTACATATCCTCTCCCCATTATTATCTCCCCATTTTTTTATCCAAAGGCCAAATTTTCCATATATCCTGATTAAATTTCATTAGCTACAGTCCATTGTTGTAACTTGTGAAGTTCTTCTATCTTGACACTGACTTGGCATATTCACTCTCCTTGCCAACTTCATGTCATCCTGAGGGGTGACAAGCTTACCTTTCATATCTTCAGCCAAGTTACAAGTTACGTTCTCGCTTCTAGAATGTTGGTTCCTTTTATTCACTCATTGGTCATTTAACCAGTTGGTCAAACAACAAACCACACTGTTGTTGTTAAGTACCATGGAGTCGGTTCTGATTCATAATGACCCTGCATAGGGCTTCTGAGGCTGTAAATTTTTACGGGAGCAGAAAGCCTCATCTTTCTCCCGTGGAATGGCTGGTAGTTTCGAACTGCCGACCTTGAGGTTAGCAGCCCGATTCATAACCACTACGCTACCAGAGCACCTTAAACACACTGTTATCCTACCCTTATTCCTCATAATATCTGCAAGGATATCCTGGAAAGTCTTGTCAAAACACCTTGATGAAGTCCAAAAGCATTCTTTTCTTGATTTACCACTTGTAACGCAGACTATAAGCAAAGCCTGACATGACTTAACCTCCTGGAAACACCTAACCATCTGCCCACTCATCCCACACACAATCTTGTCTCCACCAAGGGAAGTACACCATTTACAGTGATGGCCTTTGGCTCTCTGCTCCTGTGAGGTCACTCAGACTGGGCTATAAACATCTGAGTCTGTAAATGTTCTTTCTAGCTCTTTTTAGGTATTTTTCTCATACGAATTATCTGTCCACCTATAACATTGGTTTGCTTTCGTATTTTCTGCTCCTAGTAACTTGTACCACAAAATTTGGAGATTTTCTTTGCTCTTTATAGTTGGCTTCCAATTCTCTTTTCAGGTCAGTTAGTCTCTGAGCAAATACATTCTTAATACTCATAGTCAACTCCAGCCTTATCTAAAACCATCCTTCTTCTATCTTAAGCCTTAGCTTGTGACTCCAAATTCACATTTTGTCTTTCAAATAATACAGTTAAATAATAATAACTGTTTTCCCAGCTGTGTTTTCTTTTTCAAGATTTCATATTCCCTAAAGGATACTTTTGAGGTATTTTCTGATGGTGTCATTTGTTGCCCCAGGAATTGACACGATTCACTGATGGTCAGCACTGGTGGTCAGTCAGCAGTGTCTAAAAGCCTCAACACTCTCCTAGCTCCTCTCAGAAGTTAGTCCCCACACCTGGTGATAGGGTGCTTTAATGGTCCTGCCATTTTCTCTTCCAAGGGCAGGAACAGGTTTCCTTGACTTCCTTTGAGCCAACAAAAAGGTTGTCTGCTTAGGGCTTCTTATTTACTCCATACTATGCTTTCTTCACAGCCCCTCCCCTGCCCACCATCCTGTCGATGCTGAGTTCATTTTTCCTCCATAAATCCAACACTGCTGCTTTCCCCAAACTCCCATGGCACCCAGTCCTTTCTCATTACAACCTTCTGGAGGCTCTTTGGGGTCTACCTCCTGAGTTCACCTCCACACACACGAGCTGGTATTCTTCTCATCCCATAGGGAGTAACTGAGGCACACATAAAGGTAACCACCCAAAATGACACATACGGTGGTATTCCAGGTAACTAGAGTATCAGGGCTAAGAGGCCACATCCTCTCCAACAGTTACAGAGGGAAGAGAGACTGAGCCAATGGAGTTCCTGAGGTCTCTGTCCAGCAGCAGTAGGCAGGTGATTTCTGGCTTTGGGAAGGGCTCAGAAAACTGGGCACTCAACCGTTTTCCTTTGGTCCCCACAGAACGTGTTTGGGGTGTGGAAGCCTGTGGTGTTCTTGGCTATCGCAGCTGTGGCTCTGTATTTGTTACCCAACATGCGACAGCAGGAGACAGAGTTCTGCCTCATGGAGTGATGGCAGATCCCCAGTAGCTTCCACCCTCAGCTTCATGCAGGACATTGTGCCAGAGCCCCACCCTGTCCATATCTCCTACTTGTCCTCATTTCCTTAGTCTCAGTCACCCAGGCTGGAAAGGTTTATGGAGAGCTGCAAGCTCCCATCGCCTGCCTTGTATAAGAACCTGGGTCCCTTGTAATTAAATATCAACCTAATTACATGAGACTTTGTGCCTTTTTATTTGCTCAGTGCCTCACAGCACAACCCAGAGTGATTCCCCTTTAACCCAGTACCTCACTTGATTGAGAATCTGGTTCCTTGTGTATTTCTCACTCAACCAATACCTCAGAAATGAGTCTGCCTGCCAGCTGAGTGCAGATGGCAACTTGGTCCATATTGACCCTACCTTAAGAGCCTATCTGACCATGAAGAAACATATGAACTGGGTTCTCTGTGTGAGGGGGCCAAATGACCTCCTCTAGGGGTGCCCACTATCTATGGCTACTGTAAGAAAGATGTCCTAAAATGATCTGTGTGGGAGCCTTTGTGGCTTACTGTAATTTCTCAAGGGATTCATTCACAGATGACACAACCATTCGAGGCCCTGACAATAAACAGGTGACATTCTACCAGCTTCACTGAAGAGAGTTTAATGAAGGGCCAGTGTGCCCAGGGCAGAGTTCAGAGAACTAACAGGAAATGGTGAAGTGCCCAGGCACTAGCAACAGTGGGGAGCTGTGACCACCCCAGGCCTGAAGGGGGGCCCCACACTGGAATGGGGGCCACAGGGGAATGCAGCCCCTGTCAGAGACCTCCTCAAGTAGGGAGTTATTTATTCCCCACTCTTCCTCTCCACCTGCCCGCTTCCTATTGGTACCAGCCACTGACTAAAGCCAGCTGGGAGCCAGAGAACAAAGGTGGGTTATGGAATCTTCAGAGGTCAGTTTCCTGAAACTTCAGAGGCAGGCAGAGGATTGGGTGGGCCTACTACCTGGAGACAACCAGAATGACTAGGCTCATCTGTAAGTGCCTTTGTGCACAGTTTTTCCTGTGGGCCCTGTTTGTGATCAGTTTCCTCATGAATCTTTCCCCATGAAAGACCTCAAGTGTATTCCTGAGCCACAGTGGCCCCCAGGA